TTTGGATTTCTGAGAAGTATAGACCATAATTGTTTGATAATTGTATATTTCCCCTTTCCTTCTTTTTCAGTGAAGCGAAAAAAAAAACCATTATTTCTATCCCAAACCTCTCCAGCTCCTGCATTATTTCCCTTTCCTTTCCCGTTAAAGTTGTAATATTCCACGTCCCCATCTTTATAACTTTCCTATTTTCTCCTTGCTTTTTCTTGCGTTTATCCATATTCCTGCCATTTTCATCCTCAGTAAAGTCTCCTCTTCTGTTTACACTTAGTTTTTTGAATTTTTCCATATTGTCCGGTAATCTTTTCGAAACTGTACGTTTATTATTCCTGACAGCTTCTTCAACCACTATCTTCCCCTCGTCGTTTGCTTCATCCTTTACAATTATTTTGTTGTATCTCCTTTCCTCCTGAGTTTCCTTAGTTCAGTCATCAAATTATATGAATTTTCTTAGAGTAGTCCTCATCTATCCATATGTATATATCCTTTTGCCTTCCTCTGATGTCAGTCAGCTGTTCCAACTCCAATATTTCAATGTTCGTAAATAAAAGTATCAATTTTACACAGTTTTTATATGTTGTAGCTCTCTAGTAGTTCCGTTACCACACATTACAATTTTATAGTAACTATTATCTTTTGTTGAGTTTTTTGTGTAATTCTTTGGGAATTATTCGATTTTTAAAACATTTATTAATATGATCTTTTACCAGTCCTTAATTAAGTGTTTTTACAAATTGTTTTATCATCATTGTCTGGATAGCTTTGATACTCTACAAAGGAATTCTCCGAAACAATATCCAATATAGCACAAAACATCGTCTGGTACGTTTATTTATACCTACTGTCAACTGCACACTTTTTAACGAGTGTGTCTATTTTCCTTGGGTTTCATTATAAAAAGCAATTATCTCAGGTTTACCAGCTTTGTATACTATGATGCATCGGAGAGGACAGAATGACCATTTTTCCTCTTTTAAACACGTAGCGAACAAGAAGTTTTAATAAAACCGTCATTCGATGTGGTAATAATTGTTGAGATATTTTTCTGCAACGTTTTTCCAATTTAATAATTAAATATTAAATTGTAGTCATATCATATATAGAGAAATAAAGATAGAGACGTGGTACGTCCGTGTAATGCCATGTGGATAATAACGCAAGTTTACAAATTCCGATAAACATTTGGATCCGACCAGATGAGAACGATTCTCAACGTAATTTGATACGCTAAATACGAATCTTCAATCTGTTTGTCATGATTGGTTCCGGATTTTGAGTGCTTCTTTTTGAAGCAGGAAAACCCTTTTTGCTGCTGATGATACTCCAAAGAATAGTATTCCGAAAGTAGCAATGCTATGAAAGGTGGCATAATAGGTAAGTCGCGCTGTAAAGGTATTGGTTATATTTCGTATTCTCCTCACAGTATGAATTGCTGTGTTCAACGTTTTGAAGATGTTCTCTACATGTGCTTGCCAGTTTAGTTTGTTGTCTAAATGTATACCTACAAATTTTAGGTTGTTATACTCTGTCCCAACATTGTTTTGATATTGCAGGTATTGAGTCTTTTCTTCATTTAGTTTTAACCATTTGGACCAGACCTTTCCTTTGCCCCTATTAATGTTTGATGGGTTTTATTTCGCAGATCATCCAAGTTGTTCGAAACACATTGTCATATTGCTAATACTGCCGTAACTACACTTATTTCCGAATTAACTTCGTAACATAAACTTTAAATTCATCTTGGCCATCTTGATGGAATTTGCTTTAATTTTATTAATATGAATTGTTTTTGTATGCACAATACGTTTTGAAACTGTTAAAATTTATATCAAACATATGCAATATGTCCAGTGTAAAGACACATTGTGCAATTTTTCGTGCTCTGTTTGTCCACAAATGTTTCAATCTATGTATTCTAACGCCACATAACAAAGCATTTTCAACAAAATTATCCAAAATAATTAATAAATATTCCAAATGACGCCCCAAACATTATCGTCAAATCAACGACAGTGATGTACAGTTTCATTTATTTATCTCATCACAATGTAAGATAATTTTTGGTCACGTATATTTTGTTTTCTATTTTATACATAATCGATGGATAATATATTTTCTATGCTTATTACAAATGTGTAGTATTTACTTAAAATATAAGCAGATTTATTTTATATTCTATTTTTTTTGTCATGCGTTTGACTTTGCACTACTTCTGCAAATTTTTGTTAAATTTTTTATTGCAAATTTCTTTATTTTACATACTTAATGCTTTCATAATATAATATTGTTTAAGTTATTACTCATATTATGTAAGATAACATTTGTTCATATCAATTTAATGTCATTATTTCTGTGATAATTATTCTTATGTAATAACCAATGTAAGAATAAATAATGAGTGATAATGACAATCTGAACAAATTAATTGTTATTTAGTTTTGAGAAAAAAATATATTTTAAATTTCTAGGGAATAAATGTGTACAATTATTTATTTACTTGTATCTATACCTATCCTATACACTCAGATTAACTACTTCATATACAGGATGTACCGAAACTTAACGACAAGCGGGTACCTGGCGAGAGGCCAACTCATAACTGTTTTGGTAAAAATAAGAAAAAATTCCATGTCATATTTTTGAAAATGTTAAAAATCGTTCCTGTACATCATATCTTTTGTGATCAATAGTGATTTTTTTAATAATGGAATCCTTATTAACCATGCTAGTATAGAAGTCATAAATCAAACAACAAAAGTCGTTAGTTTTCCGGTTTAGAACGGACAATAATATATTTTAGGAAAAGAAAAATGGCAAGTGTTGTACCATTTTGGAATCTTGACTAAACGGGCCATCTTTTAAAATAACTTGTCAAGTGTGTTGTACTACTCCTTTTTTAGAAATCGTGTGTTAAACTTAATAGACATAAATTCTTTCAACCTTAACTCAATAAAACTAATATTCTTTTTTGCAAAACTAACGACTTTTGTTGTTTGATTTGTGACTTCTATATTAGCATAGTTCATAAACAATACATTATTAAAAAAATCACTATTAAATTGCGAATATTTCTGACACTAGTACCTAAAAAGATGATGTACGGGAACGATTTTTAACATTTGTAACACAAAAATATGTGTATCGCCACTTAACTAAGAGACATGGATTTTTTTTCTGATTTTTACCAGAACACGTATGGGTTGGCCTCTCACCCAGTGCCCGTTTGACGTTGAGTTTCGGGACACCTGTATACAATATTTTCAATCTACATATATGTATATTGGATATAAATAAATAATTTATTATTATTATTACTAAATTTTCAATAAAAAAAACATTTAGGGTGCCATCCTCTATGAGTTTAAGTTTTAAGTAAAACCAGACATCACTTCAATTGTATTCAAAACGTTGTGACAACTTTGCAAAGTGGATTCAAAATGTTTTTGTTACGTTTGCTGAAGGTACATGCTCAGTAAAAGTGGAAAAATGCACTAAAACACGCGTCTTTGCATTCCTTTGGTTGTTTTATATTAGACACTGAAAAGCCGTGGTTGTTGAAGTTGTTTTGTAATGCGTGCAGAACAAAGCAGTACCAATGCTTTGCAGAGAACCAATAATCATATAGATGGTTGCTACTTTTGCTTGACCAACGTCGTCGCTATTAATGCAAGAAAACTAATACAATGCAAATATCATGATGTATCATCAGTGTCCAAGTCAGTTCCACGTAGGAGTGAAACTGACCCATTGCCAGTTTGTCTAAGTGTAGATACGTGAACATGCTCAACCAAGTTTGACTACATCTGCCTCACCCAATGATAGTAATTATTTCGTCATGGAAGGAAGCCGTTTCAGCATATCGAAACAAAAGACAGAGTTGCTTGCATCACGGTTACACGAGTGGAAATATCTTGACAGTGGAAGACGGGTCGCTGTATACAGGAAAAGAAGCGCTTCAACTATTCTTCAAGAAAGAAGGGAACATGTGTTTCTGCGATAACATTATCGGCTTATTTGATATTATGAATACATCATAAGGTCGAAAGGAATGGCGTTTGTTCGATGGTTCAAAATACAGTCTAAAGACTGCTCTGCTACAAATTGGAATAATAAACCATTCAATTCCATCTATTCATTCAAGGAATACTATGACATAATGCGTACATTCTTGGCCAAGATCAAATACAATGAGTATCAATGGAAAATTTGTGGAGATTTAAAGGTATGAAAGTATATATATTCTAATTTCAACGTGAATTGATTTACATATTTTTCCAAGTAAGGTGATTGGGCTCTTGATTGGGATTCACTAAATTTTGCTGGATTTTGTTTCTGTGGCATAGCAGTACTGAACATTAAACTTTGTCGGAGATGATATTTGAAAGTTAATGGCCGACGGAAACTTTAAGAAAATGTTTAATGACCGATGAAACGCCAACATGGATATTCGGATTTTAAAGAAACAATTGGCAATTTGTTGCAAAATTACCGCAAGATTGGATCTCGAATGTAATTACTTTCGAAATAACAGTTGGTTCCTCAGCTTCAAAACCGTGTAACTTGTATAATTTGCATTGGCACAAAAACAAGGTGACATATTTCGGTAAAAACACGAAATAGTGTTGACATATTCACGCGAAAGTTTGCTTATTCAACGATTTCAGGCAGTTCAAACTCGATTTAAACTCCTTTTGTGAATTTCTTATTAATATTTGATTTATCGGTCAACAACTCAATACTTTCGAAAAAAGAAATTTCGTTGATCCGATGTATATTTTATTATATAATAGGTTCACAACAAATGATTTTTAAAACCTATTTCAAAAACTACATGAGAAATCATTATAAAATGATTACTACATTAAAGCAAATTTATTTGTTACTTTAATAATAATTAATTTGTTTACTCATATAAATCTACTTGTTATGATTTGATAATTCCACTCTGATTTGTTCTCAAATCTTATCTAAAAATCTTTCTTCCTATTTTTAGCTTCAAGTAACATAATAAACAGATTTATTGCAATTTTGGCGATAATAAAAGAATTATGTAAATAACAATTTTATTTAAATTTATATTTCTAAAATTATCAAATTAATGTTAGTAAATCCGTATCATTTATGTTATGTTCTATAATCTCCGGATGCATATGAATTAAATATATAATATAACGTGTCCTTGAATTAAAGAAACGTCGGATTAGCGAATAATTCATCGATTCAAAGCTCCTCTTTATCATTGTTAGCAAAAATTTCTGATGAGTTGTCATCGGATAATAAAGTTCCGGTTTAACATTGCATAAATCATAAATAAAATTCATAAAAAGGTTTGAATCGAACGCTGGTATCACCAGATTATTTCCATCCAAAATTGCAAATTGCAACATTAATGATCCTGGATCTTTTAGGTACAAATATTCCGTTACCTGATTGGTTATTTCTATACATATATCTCTAGTTTCTTTTAAAGACTCTCGACAAATGGTAAATCTATCGTCAACGCCTAACATATAGCCAATTACACGCCAAAAATGCACTAGGGCTTCTAAATCCTCATCACTAGCAGAACTTAAACCGAATTCCTTTTGTTTAGCTAAAGCTAAACCGAAAAATCCATAAGCTGTCGATCCCATTAATGCTTGATCAATGTTGAAGTCATCGCCTTTCTTTAGACCTAATCGAACAGCGGCGTTATGCATTCTTCTGACTTTTAATAATGAATTGTATAAGCTACGAAATAAATTATTTTTGAAACGTCGAGTATAATTAAAGTGTCGAATACCTTGATCCAACTGTAAAATCTCCTCTATACCAGGATACCATGTGCTTCATGGTATCTCGATATCGCTTATAAGCTGTGAGAGGTTCACTTGATTTGTTTGTAGCAAGAAGTAATTTTATTCCCCGCGGATAACTTAACATTAAAATTAATCCTGTGAGGCTCACCAAAAGCATTGACGAAATATTTTGCTCAAAAAAATGTTGTGCTCTAAATAAAAATAAATCCTATATAAAATTTACGAAATTACTAATAAATACCTTTTAATTTTTTTCTCATCATAATACTCTGGTAAAAATGGTTTTGAATTAAAGTACTCTTCTGAACCATCATATAAATGTTTAGTAGCTTCCTTTTCTAATGTATCGTATATAAACTTGTGTGCGGAAAACACTTCAGGTTCGGTTTGTACCATTTTGGAAGTCGGGTGCGAAGTGTTTTTCACAATATTTAATTTATATTAATGAATCGGAATGACTTTCAATTTTAATTTTATCGCAATTTTGTTTAGTACGAAACAAGAACGTTTTCGTCAGAGATAAACGAAACACAGAGATAAACCAAATCTATGATGCGTTATCTACGCTTAGATTTTGGTATGTAAAAGCAATTTGCTTTGACGTGAAAATTGTTAGAGGCGTTGATGGTATGTTGGTTGTAAAAATGTAAAAAGGCGGTATTGGTCGTCGAACAAAACGATACATTTATATATTAAACATTTTTACTTTACGCGCAACTTTTTGTTCGGTTAATAACTTGGCCTGTTTTATGAAATTTTTGTGAATACACGCCCGAGCCTGCGTTATTAAATTACATTCTTCGCGAGTATGCTATGCTGCTGTAGTATTTTACGGCAGTAACGATACGGTACGATAGGGGTGTAAAACCTTCGTTTCTACACGTTTCCTCCTCTTGAGGGGGGAGCCTGAATTTCCCGATGGATGGAAATTTCGAAATTTTATTCTGTTATAAAAGCTTGCTCGCCCAGTGCATATAATATCTACACTGTTTCCATGCTCGTTTTAGTCGTATTACCGACACAATTCTTCGTTTCGTATTCTCGAAAGATTTCGTTTCGGTTTAATATTGAGTGTGATCGTGCGAGAACAAACAACATATTTACCATTATTCAACAATTAAAATCAATTGTCAAGTGAACAATAAAGTAGCGGAAATTTCGATTTACCCACGATAGAGTAATAGAAATTCGATTGAAGTTGTAAATGATTGTGGTCTCGTTTGATGAGGTTTCTGGCATTTGACATCGCTCGTAAATTTTCATCCGCGAAACTGCCATTTCATCCCAAAAGATTAACAGTCATAAATTACGTCACGTACACATCGATGGATTTTATTTGTTTATTGTGTGTGCTAATTAAAGCGATATAAATAATCTGCATTGTAACTATTGTTTCGAAACAAAATTAACGATTGGCTTTTAGGGTGTGTTATAACATTGAAATAAATAAATTTCTACTTGAATAGATTCGTTTAATAATCGTTTAATCGAGACGAAATATTGAAGAGTGGTATAAAAAAAAACATAATGTAACAGTTAAGAAGGTTTATTAAAAACCACAACAAAAATTTAAAAAGGCCTCAAATTTCTCTGAGAAAATTTTATATTTCTTTACTTGGGACTAGTTTGGGTTAAAATCATTAACCATCCTCAGCCAAATCTATTAACCTCTTAATGACCACCGTTCCTAATTAGGAACGTTCCGAATTTAGCTTGTTGTGACAGTTATGCAAACTGAATGTTGCATATTGCAATTGATAGACCGTTATTCGTATTCAGGAACATTATTCATATGTTCGAAGAATTTGATCGTTAGTGCCTACTAACTACAAATTATAACCTCTATAGTGCAACAGTGCCAGACAGATTTGTGGACTTTGGTGGTAATTTTTATATATTAGCGGTAAGTATATTACAAAAATAAAAATACGTTATGTAATGTGGGTTCCCTATTAGCGAATAAAAGCAAAAGTTTTTGTTTGAATAGAAAATATACTATCGAAAATTCAAAAAACGGCTTTGTTCCTTCTATGGAACAATGATCACCAACTTGAAATATTTTCCTAAGAGAATATCTTCCTTCTTTTCAGATAAAATGTGGCCAAAACGGGGGGAAATCCTCAGTGATAGTGAAGACGAGAATCTGGATGATTCTGAGGATGAATTCACCCCTGAAGATTTACCTGAGAATAGCGATGATTCGTCAAGTAATGAAAGTGACGAAGAGAAAGAGTCGCGTACAACTTGCACTTCAAATCAAAGTAAAAAGAAGAAGTTATACAAATGAACCAAAGTGAACCCATACGAAACTCCATTGTCTACACCTCAATTTACTGTTCCCCCCAAAGATGATGAGCCAGAAATTGGAAGGCCTATACATTATTTCAAACTGTTTATGGATGACGCGTTATTGGATCTGATTGCAGAACAAAGTAATTTATATGCCACCCAAATGGATGTTAGTAAATCTCTTCAACTAATACGTTCAGAGCTTGAAATCTTTATAGGCACTGTGATTTACATGTCAGTATTTAGTCTTCCACGTAGCAGGCTCTTCTGGAAAACTTCTTGTAGGGTTCCATGGGTGGCGGATTCTATGTCAAGAAAGAGATGGGAACTCATAAAGAGACATTTGCATTTCAATAATAATGACAATATTCTCACAGATCGGAATAATCCCAACTACGATAAACTGTTCAAAATTGGACCAGTCGTGAACAGGTTGTAAGAAGCATTCAAAAATCAAGACAAACCCCAGAAACTTTGCGTTGATGAGCAGATTGTGCCATATAAAGGAAAATCATCCCTAAAACAATACAATCCCAATAAACCAAATAAATGGGGCTACAAGATCTTTGTCTTGTGCGACGATAAAGGTTTGATACACAATTTTGAAATTCACACCGGTAAAATTGAACCTGCCCCAGGAAAGGAAGATATTGGAGCAAGTGGAAACATTGTTTTACGCCTCGCAGGTTCAATACCAACACATCATAATTATTTATTATATTTGGATAATTGGTTTTCTTCAATCAAACTTATGACAATTCTTCATGAAGATGGAATATATGCATTGGGAACAATAAGAAGAGATAGGATACCAGGACTGAAACTGCCCACAGAAAAGGAACTCAAACGACGTGGTAGAGGTGCGTACGACGAATTCAGAACATCAGTTGGAGATGGAATAAAACTACGAGTGGTACAATGGTTTGATAATAAAAGCGTTCGTGTTGCTAGTACATTTTGTGGAGCCCAACCCGTAGATGCTGTCCACAGATTCGATAGAAAACAAAAAACTACGATAGATGTAAACCGTCCTAATATCATCAAACAATATAACATGTTCATGGGTGGAGTAGATTTACTTGATGGACTGATATCGTACTATAGAATTTCGCTTAGATCTCGCAGATGGTATCTCAAACTCATTTCATAGATCTGTGTCTAGTAGCAGCTTGGATCAGGTATCGAATGGATATGCGAGAAATTGACCTTCCGGCGAAAGATATTTTGGATTCGCTCGAGTTCCGGTGTGAGGTAGCTGAAGCACTATGTCTGTCAGGCAAGAATCCTGATTCTAAAAAAAGAGGTAGGCCAAGCACAGCTTCTTTAGAAAACGAGTATGCAGCTAAAAAGAAGAAGGGTCCCACAAAACCCATACCACAATTTGATGTTAGAACTGATCAAGTTTCTCATTTTTCGGTGCACAAGGAAACAAGACAGCGATGCAAAAAGCCGGGATGTGGTTTAAAAACTTGCCTATTTTGTGCAAAGTGCAATGTTTATCGCTGCATTACGAAAGAAAGAAACTGTTTTCTTGCTTTTCATTATTAAACTTTTTTTGTCATCGTTTGTGACCCCTTGTTCCTATTTAGGAACAAACTGATATTTTTTGAAAAATTGAAATAAATTTGGTTTTGAATACAGAAATACACTTCTTGTATTATTTACAACTCGTTTATACAATAAAAGTATTTTTTTAAATTCGTTAGGTACCTAAATTAGGACATTAAACAAAAATAAATAAATAAATTTTATGGCTCCAAATAAATTATTGAAAGAACTGAAAGTACAAGAATTGAAACATGAATTAGAAGAAAGAGAATGCGAGACATCCGGAACGAAAACAATATTGCAAATTCGAGAAGCTCTGGAAAGAGGAGGGAATGATCCAGAAACGTTCGTATTTTGCCGGTGATTGTGCTATTAGTTCTATTTTGCAACAAATTCAAGAAAATGTCAGCAACTTGGAACATACGCTCCAACAGAAACTGCAAGAAAATTCCAGCGATTTGGCACAAAAGCTTCAAGAAAATTCCAGGAAATTGGAACAGAAACTTCTAAAGAATTTTGAAAGACTAAAACAAGAAAATACTGATGAAATTAATCAAAAATTATCAGAAGTAGACAAGAAATTAGAACTGTTCCAGAAAAAAAAAAGTGGGTTGGGAAAGGAAATGGTAGCACTAGAAGAGACCGATGCCATGAGGGTTAACACCACCAATATCGCATACGCATATGAAACCACCGCAGTTTGATGGAAAAACAACATGGAGCACTTACTTCAAACAATTTGAAGCAGCAACGAGTGCAAATAAGTGGTCAACTAAGGAGAAAGCCACATCACTGATACTGTCATTGCGAGGTGATGCGGCTGAGATACTAGATAAACTCTCACCAGCAGGTGACTATGATTCCCTTGTGAGGCATTTGGAAATGCGATATGGTCGTGGACATTTAAAACAAGTTTATCGCTCCTAGTTGAAGGCTCGCTACTAGCGACTAAATGAATCATTGACAGAGTTTGAGTTTGATGTGTCTCGATTAACAAGATTAGCTTGGACGGAGGTGAGTGAAGACATATTAGGTGCTGGAACTGTGAAGAGCTTGGACCTGTACATTACTGTTGCAAAAAGTACAAGTGCGAGATAACAAGGGGCAGACATCGACCTGTATCCATCATGCCTCGAAAGAAATCGTACAGGTCGCATCTTTACAACATCGGGTTAACAGCGCTTTTGTAGACGGCATGGTTAATGGAAAGATTTACCGGCTCTTGTTGGATACAGCTGCGACGAAGACCATCGTAAAATCTAGTATCATACAGAAGTCAGCAAAGGTTACGCCGACGAAATGAAGACTCCGTACTGCAATAGGAGAACCGGCATTGATCCACGGTGAAGTGGACATTAACATCGTTATCGGTAGTACATTAATAAAACATTCAGCACTGACAGCAGATATAGAAAAGGGAATATTTTTGTTTTGTTTTTCCATATTATAGATTAGTTGTCTTTAGTTATTTTTAGTTTATAACTCTTTGTCTTTTGGTTTTATTTTTAAGAATATTTGTCTTTTTTTCATTTGTTTATTAATTTTGTGTTTTCTTTTTGGTTTATGTTTGTGTATAAAACAGGGTTGAGTGGAAGAGA